AGTGTACACGCGGTACTATGGTGCTCGTGCATCCCGACATAACGGACGGCCCTCTGCTCGTGTGCGAGTACATCTCACTGTACATTGCCTCGAGCTGTGGGGTTCCGCTCACTATGTTCGGGTTGTGCTGGTTATCAACGGCCTGTGCAGACGAAAACACTCCTCTATCGAGTGTATTGGAGAGCAAATGAGATCCTGGTTCCGCATCTCGAGACGGACCGCAACATCACTCGCTCGATTCGTCATGCAGATATCTGCTATGGCTATCAGCGTGCGTGTTAGCTTTCGCTATTTGGATGCGGTGATAGATCTGCACTGCTCAGATAATGTTCATGCCGATGGGGCACGGCCGTGTAGAGAGAGACACTCGCGGCAAAGATGGTGGATTCAAAGGCGGCGCTCGGGCGTAAGAGGTTCATTTGGTATCATCAATGCGCTGTATCTCTATCTCTTTTACGAACTCTACCTATGATATCTATGTAGCATATGCATAATATGTCTCAATCACATCTCTCCGCGTACCAAAACGTTAATCGCCGCGGCGCTCAGCGCACATGAATTCCCACGCTCGACCTGTTCTTGCTCAAGACGTACCTCGAGGCGAGGGACTGAGAAGAGAAGAAGAGGACGTGAGCAAAATTGTGAGTGCTCCTTGACTCTATCACTTCCAGTACAGGAAGTTGCGAACGTGCGGCCGGCCGGCACCGGCCGAGGCGTGGGTACTTCGCTTAGAAGTTGGTCAGAGTTCTTTGCTCTCGACCACCACGATGTCTTGGATATCGTCTCTTCGACTTTGTCTAGCTCTGTAGCCGCTCTACCCTTTCATTGGATTGCACGTCCTCGTACTTATGCGCCCATGGGTGCTTAGGAAAACCTGTACGCGCTAGTCCATGACGAGGTCGCGTGGTTGGAGGTTGCTTGTGGCATTGCGAGCGTCATTCGTACTCTCGGATAGGATACGGGATGAGCGTAGGGATGGATGATGAGTGCAGATGGGGATGGAAAGACTGCATTCTACGATGAGCTCGGATCATGCATTGGGCTCTTGCGCAGGTGGATCGGACTCTCTCGAACAGTACAGATAGCGCACAGGATGGATAGGCGCTACTGTGATGATGTTTGAGCATATCCCTGTAATCATATTGGGTCCTCACCATCCGGCGCGCGCTGGCGCTGGGACTCTGCTCGTGCGCTACCGCCGGAATTCCCGGTCATTTGCCGCGAGCTGTTCATGTCCCAGAAGATGAATGCGGCCGGATGGATAGGTCGCGATGTCGATGATCTCGCTCCGATGGTGTTTTGAGAGGATGGATATCGAATGGGGTTGGCGATGCTTGGTTGAAGATGTGCCATCGCTCGCGTATGCTGAGCAAGACGATCAGACATAAACGACCCCTCCTGCACTCGATCTGCACCAGTACCCCGCCTCTCTCGAGTACGGAGTATATCGCTCAATGTATCAAGCTCTCGAAGCGAGATCGAGCCATTATGTCTCGGCTGTGAGGGAAGCGGAGGCTGAAGAGCTACGTACCCGTTTCGCGCCCGTGTTATGCGGACACGGAGACATGGTTGTGCACGATGGATGGATTAAGCGCATGCATAGGATTGAGAACGACTTGTTCTAGATCTGAGATCTGAGAGATCATCTCTAAACACAGCGTGCAGGCCTTGTCTTCCACGGGAGTCGAGCGCCCCCAAGCCCCCGCGGACGCCATACGCGCCTCTGCCTGTCTTACATGCGGAGTTTGCGTTGTGGGTGGACTCTGCATATGGATGAAGACTGCTCTTCTCTTCGATCAAGAGTAGAACGTTGGGTGTCACTCGTAGTGAATAGGATGGATGTTTCACTAAACGATGTGCCCGAACATCTGTGCTGCCTCACCCCCTTTGCCTGGCCGGTCATCCGCTCGTATCTTTAGGAAGTTAGACTTCTAATTTCCTATGTAGTGAGCTGTACCACGTCTGGGCGACAAGGGGGTGTGCTCAGTGCACAGCTGATTGAGAAAACTCGATCGGATTGACGAGGTCAGGCTATACTTTTGATGGGGGCACCGTCGTAGGGCGAATCAGGCCTTGGTGGCTTGGAGGGTGTTGAGTCTTTTTACTTATTGAGCCAACCCGTTGCTATTCTAGCATATCACCCCTCGATGTACCGAGTATTGTCATGCATTATAAGAGTAGTACTATAGTATGTTCATGATATCACGATCTCCGGCATTGCGCCTTCGACCTCCGTCAAGTGTCTAACACTTTACTTGAGATCGGAACCCACTCTGAGGGTCTGAGGCCATTTGGCGATGTTTGAGAGGTAGTCCGCTGCAGCATGCTGAGTTCGGGGCAGGAGGGGCACGGAAGCGGCGGACCGATGCCACGCGCTCATCGGCCCGGGCGACGCGACGCCATGTTCGGCGCGGACGCTCTTCGTTTCTTGCCCGCACCTCCCATCCTCTAATTTCTCGGCTTGTAACATTTAATGGGTCGACGGACGCTTCAGAGAGATGAGAAAGAGCGTGTACACTGGCCATCGGCCGCTGCCATCGCCGTTGGGAAGGCGTTGGGTACTTTCCTTTTCTGGATCGATGCAAGTCTGGTGGCCATAAAAGACCAACAGGAAGCCCTCGGTCCTTCTTCTTGACCGTCATCCGCACATACACCCGCTATCCTCGACATCTTACTATGGGCCAGCGCCATCAGATCTTCGTTCTCGCACGCGTACGCAGCAAGGGCGAGGCAACTGGTCACCGTCGCTGCGTCGCAGCATACCACCATCAGTGGTGCTACGGCCGCATAGCTCTACAGTGTCTATCGCGCTTCTTGAGGCTTGCTTCTCAGCCCGAAAACTTTGCCATGATTCGTCGTGATATTGCAAATGTGCAAGGAGACTGGGGAGAGGTACCCGCTGAAGATATCAGGGGAATATACGTTCCCTGCCCGTTCATTGCCTATCTCTTGCAACTCGCTTGGAATGTCAATCTTGATGATGTTCCGGTGTATGTCGCTGGCGTCTCTTTCTCAAATGCCGTACTCGATGCTCGGATGCAGTCGTCGGGCGGTGGTACGTCGTTTACATCAAGCAGCAAGGAATCGGTGTTGACCCTCTCGTTTATACGCAGATAACAACGATGGGATCACAGTTATTGACGTTACGGGCCCCAATGTATCTTACTGCTTCAACAACATATGTGGTCCCCCTCTCACCGCCGAACGTTACGTTCGAAAGTACTATCGCCCGATTGTCAATCTCGCCGTTATCAACGATGACGAACTTCAGGATAACAAGCATCTGCGAGACCAAGTCATAGCTGAACGCTCGGTTGTGCGGGCTATATCTGCGCTAGAAGGTGTCCCTCTCATGTCTATCGATGCACTCGTTGAGGCGTGGCCGTGGGACTACACTCGCACACGAGACGATATGATCACCGCGGGTACTCATACACCCGATAATCTCTCTTCGGAGGAGCCACAGCCGGAAATGTCAACTACTTCCGTACCGCCTCTCCCCGTTCAGCCGGCAATCCACAGCTTGGCAGACATTTCCCTTCATCAGGCTGTCATCCATGCCGTCAACGCAGGCGATATCGACCGTATTCAGGACACTCTATCCGTATCTGGCCAATCAGAAATCGTACTACGCATCTTGTGCGACATGTCGCCACTTCCTCCGGTGGGGGTTGAGTTGCTCGGCCTCGTCATTGGTCTTGAGCAACCAGCCGACACGCTCAATCTGTCTGACATCGATCTATCTAGTTCTGCCATCCTCGGTCTTACCAATGCCTCGAGCAGCACCCTCAACAAGCTTGATCTCACTGGAAACCAACGTGTCACCGTTCATGACCTTGTAGACATCTTGCGTACAGCCCCCAGCATGCGGCAACTCGTCATATTCGACTGCCCTCTCATCTCGGACGAGGATGTTTACGGGCTCCTTGCATCCTCCCCCAAAAGTGTTTATGCTCTTGACTATATCGGACACAGTGCATTCTTTAAACGCGCTCGCGACCGCACGCGGTCGTGCCCTTACGTTCCGGCGTTCACATGCATTGTTCAGGAGGGCAGGCGCCCACCACTCATCACTGCACTTCCTTACTTCACGCCAAGTCGACTTCTGCGCTCCTTGTATACGCTACTGAAGCCGGTGGCAGTTATGAATGAGGCAGAAGCCACAGTGAAGCTTCTCGAGAAGTCGGGTCAAAAGCCCGACATAACCCTCCTTGGGATGGTTGTCACCGGATATGAGATGTTCTCCTCCACGGCGATCTTGCATGCGGCTTTCACGACGTGGTATGCCGACGCTGCTTCGGTCACCGACGCTATCCGTGTCGCCCAAGGGCAAGAGCCTGATCCTTCCGGCTTGAGAGCCAATACTCAGCGGATTACGCTGATACCGCAAATGTCCACATCTTTCGATGGCTGGCTGCTCTTGATACAGCTTTCGAGCTTCGGGACGGGATCCCACTTCGCCTTCGCTCGCAAACGTCAGAACGGGCTATCCGCCAGTGCGCCAGCTGTGGAGGACTCGGAGTCGGCTCATGACGCGGCACCGGACCTCGAGCTCTTCTCGTTCGTCGAGTTTATTGAGGCGCTCAAGGAGGAGGGGCGTCCTGCGCCACCCGCTGCAGACGTCGCGGCGCTTGCAAACATCATCGAGACTGCCTACCCCGGGCATGATGGCGACAAGCGGTTTGAAACTGCCGGCGCAGCGAAGTTTTTGGCTGATGTGACGCTGGGTTCGCGGAGGATGTTGTACCGATAGGAGCATGATTATTGAGGAGTAGACACAGATTGTCGAAGTGCCTTCTGTTCTGACCGAGACGTCGCTTTCCTCGTCCCATTGAATATGTACTTCCTGGTTGGCAAAGCGAAATGAACCCTACCTATTCAAAAGTTTCTCAGGAGTTCTTGGTAAGTTTCGGGGCTGCAACAAAGATACGTTATGCACACCAACGAGGCATTACTGTTCCCATAGATCTGCAGACAAAACCGTGCTACGCCATCATTACTGCTCCCTGCAAGGCTCGAACTTGCGACCTCAGGATTACGCGGCTGGATAACCGCTCATACAGAAAGTATGAGACCTGCGCTCTAGCCAACTGAGCCAAGGAAGCGTTGCGCAGTTCCTAGCTTGTGTGTATACAATCGCTCCGCGATATGGACTCTCAGTGCTGAGCGTAATAACTACACCAAACCACAATGAATGGATATCAACGCCTGTGGAACACAAGCAGCGCTTGAACCCGCTACATCGATGATACAAGTAGCGCGATGAGATGTGAACTGATATAAAAGGTGCCGGGCAATCCGATTCCAGGAGTCCCAAGGCGTAGTACGAAATTGCGTCGAACGCTCGAATGGAGGAGTTCACAGAGCAAGACTTGCTGCCTGACACGACCGAAGGTTGCACATCTCTGGCGGGCACGGTCTATGTTGTCACTGACTGGCCAGTCAGAACGTTGCGCCACACGTCCATATCAGCATTCAATTGGAAAAGTAAGCGTGAGTACAATGCGAGTATTACGACTCTTGACACGGTGGCGTTAGGCGACTGCGCTGGAGCACAGAACTATCAACATGACGGCTTAGGAAGACTCGGGACTGCACTAGACTTTCGACTGAATACATCTTCACAGAAAAGCATGGGCATCTATCTACCTGATATACTAGTCTGGTGGCAGTCTGGGGGTTGGACGCGCAACGACTCTTCCAGGCCAACTGGCGCCAAGCGAGGTCTTATACTCCAGATTCAGATCGCTCAGCGAGACTCAAACCTCAAAGTACGGCTCGTTTCCTCACCATCCTGCGGGAAGCTAAGGGCGATGATGTAGCGGATCAGTAAGGATGTCGAAACGACGTCTCGAAGGCGACGACAGATACTGCTGCAGACAAGGGCGTCGCGGGCGTCGAGGGGATGAGGCGCTGCTTCAAGTATATAATATCCAGGCTCAAGAAGATACATCTTTATGCAGGTCTAGCTGTGGCATGCGCCTAGGATGCCAAGGTGATCATGGTGGGAGGAAAGGTCGCTAGACGCGTCTTCGTGACGTGGCCCTGGACGCGGCGCGGCGATGGACTAGCTGCCACAGTTTGCCATCTGCCTTCATGTCGCTCGCGAACTTTGTCAGTCCGTGCTCCGGTCAACTATTGTATACATAAGTTCATCTCTGCTCAATGGTCTGCGTATGTTCATGCCCACGTGGTGACGACTATATTAGGCAGTCACGGAAACGCCTCTGCGAAGCTTGGACCCGGAGACCCTTCGGATTGCGCTCTTGTAGCCATACGTGAAGCCATTGCCTTCAGATACACGTAGCGTGGAATCAGACCCATAATTTTTGCTCACGACCCTTCCCAAGACTGATTTGCGGTACGGCGCCCGAGCCTGCAGCAACACCACTTCGCAAATCTAGATAGGCACCCGGGCGGTGCACCGCACGCGAGTGTATACAAATGTATGGACCCTGTGTTGTTTCTCGCGATGTTTCTATAGGATCATCGTAAGCACGAGCAGCCGCATATATTGGTCGCTCAAGTGAAGCTGTGCAAGGTCTCTTCGCGTCTGCATGGCGACCTGCACATGCTCCCGCGCTACCACACAGACAAGCATGTTGATTTACAGATACCCTCGAGCTTAATCCTTATAGCTTCTCTCACTTCTATGACGTCCGCTTGCCGCATTCTTCCGACACGGCAGTTACAGAAGAACGGTATGGTAAACGATGAACCTGGATACTTCGAGACAGCCGCGATCGTCGACACAACGCCATCGCCTCGATGTATATATCTGCATTTAAACGGATATTCCGCTCGTCGCGAGGCCTGTCACTCTTGCTCCCGTCGTTGCCGGCACAACAACATGTGCATGTCTCGCTCGATCCCAAGATCGGTCTCGGCCTCGTCGTAAGCCGCTATTCAACACGACTGACAACGACTTTTGCCTCCGCCCGGCACGCCGATCGTCATGAGCCGCAGCTCAGATCCGCTCTGTCAGGTTCGCAGATAATGCCGTTCTGCCTCCGCTGCCGCAGGCGTCAGCGATCAGCGTACCGAGACAGGTTACACAAAGCCCCCTCGGACGATCGTGATCGCAAAGTCAACTATAACTCCGCGCCGTGCGTCGATGGGCCTGTGCCGCGATGAGATACTCGATCCGCGCTGGGCGGGCCAGGTGCAACCCCGCGGCGGAATGCGGGGTGAGTCATCGGTGACGCCGGTGCTGGTGGTTATCTTGAACTTTGCGAAGAGGTCTGCGGTTTATTACGCCTTCGAGCTTCGAGAAATGCGTTCAGCGCGAGGTAGACAGCGCTAGCTATATGGAGCTCTCTCTGGTTGAGTAGCGCGATGGATTGCAAGTAACGTTCAAGCACGAGCTGCCCCTTCATGAATGCGGACACGAGTGCGTATTTGCGCTCAAGTGAGCTCGATCCGTCCTATTGGCTATCCGCCTGCATTCTGCCGCGGGTTCCTTCATGCCGACAACCTCTCATAAACATAGAGGCTATTCAGCTCGATCGCGACTCGGACGCTGCATGCGGCTCACCTTCATATATCTCAGAAAAACCAAGACCGCGCTTTCAACGATGAGCCAGCCATGACCAATGCACCATCTAGCGAATGGGATAAGACCAGCGTGACCAGACGCGTACGTATGGTCTCAGTGCGCGCATCCGCCGCAGAACAGAACACGATCGACGCTTGTTGAAGTTCTGCTTTGTTTGCGTCGCCCCGGTTTCAGCGTCAGAGCGTACTGGTCATCGGAGAAGACGGAGAGCCCGAGCGGGAGTATATGTTGCAGGGGCGTGCGCCACACGGAAGCATATTTTGATGTACATGTTCGATTTCTGGTCGTGGCTGAGGTGGAATTTCAACTGGTGGTCGTCGAGGTCAGGCAGCAAGTTCGTCGCGTAGGCCGCCGCGATATGCTAGAGCTGAGTTTGAGCTGTGGCCTGGACTTGACCGCCCTCGCGATCAGAAACAGAAGGAAAACACGCAGTCCAGGTCGTACATAGACCTCAACGACCTGGCCGCTCATCTCAGTTCCAGCTGAAGCTGCAAGCTCAAAGTGCAGATCGGAGATCGCTTCGAGCTGTGCTCATCGACCGCAAAAGACAGGAAAGGCAGGTGCACCGACTTCGTGGTCCGCTTCTGGTTGGAATTGATTAAACTGCGCCCACATCCCTCACGTACTATATGCATGCGGGTACGCAGCAGCCGCACCGTCTTTTCTGCATGCCTCGACCTCATGTATTTGAGCGCCCGTGATAAGAGACATCGAGCTTCTAGCTTCATATGCGATGTTGCGAACCTTCTTAGTCGTATAGGAAGTGGATCAACTGCGTGGTCAACATACGGTTGATCGGTCTGTTGAGAAGATAGAGAAGACGGAAGCCCGCTCTGTGAACCATAGCAGCATGCCATAATCGTTCATGTTCAGAACGTCAGGAGCCGACGGAGACCGACGCCGGAGACTGAGGCATAGACGCGCGAGACCATGTCTCCGCCGAAGCAGCCGGAGATGTCGCTGTTGATGGAGAAGAAGGCCGGCGTATTGTTCTTGGTGGCGCGCAATATACAGGTAGATCAGCAGGTGGCCAACGTTCCTGGATATACTTACAGCATGCCACAAAGCGCGCTTACCACGCTAACAAGCTTTCCAGTCACACAACGTTTATTAGCTTGAAAATATCTGAGATTGGTGATCTGGCGATATCGACATCATCGGAGGGAGACCCGCGCCGATGCTCGTGTTCGAAAAAAGGCCGCGCCTGCCACAAGGAAGGGGCGGCGAAATGGGAAATGGAAGGTGTTCGCTGTCGAGCTCGACCGGGGCTTCTGGTAGATCTGACTGCTCGGCACAGAACCGTACTGTAGACGCTGGGTCAGCTTCGCAAGTTCGACTTCGATAATCTCTCTCGACCCTGAACCTTGCAGCTATCAAGGGGCCTCAGAGCGTCAGCGCTTCGCTCGCTCCAGCTGGGAGCGTTCCAGCTGCTCACCGCAATGCCTGGACTCGCATGTGTGGGTTCAGCGCCAGCAGATAACAAGACGCCGGGCCGTCCGAGAGAGAGGGCTTCCAGGCTTTCCTGCGAGCGCGAGGCACACGGTGTGATCGACGCTGCTCGCTACCGTACCGCGTTAGCACGCTAGGCGCGGCGGGAAGGACAGGCCACATGCGGAAGGGGGGCGTGTACGAGTACGTCTTGTGTGGATCTGTGCTGCGTTCGGGTAGGCCGACGACCGATGTACGAGCGCTTGTCGATTTCAGATGCGATCTCGTCGAATCTTGATCAGGTTGACGATGAGCCAATGCAGACTAGACGAACTGGCGTCCTCGCGAGGACGGGGAGATATCGATGCGGACTGCAGGGCAGTGCAAACGTTACACAACGCGGCGTATTCGATTGTTCCGTACCCGGAGGGTTCAATCCGAGTGTGCATGTGAAGTTGACATGTTACAAGAAGTATAGCGAGCAAGAAGCGACATCATGAGAACGAAAGGGAAGTGCGATAAACTTGGCATGCTACAGGATGGGGGAGAAGCGAGTAAGGGAACGAATAGTACGATATCTCCAAGGTTCAAGATGATGAGAGAGAGTCCAATGGGCATGGTACAAAGCAGGTGGGCAAGAGCGAGGAGGACAGCGCGAGAGCGAACGAAAGAAACTTGGGCATGAGAGTGCATGATCAAGAATATTATTATTGCGAACAACCTAAGGCTTGACGGTGCGCTTGGTATGCTTGCCCGCGCGGCGACGCTCGTTGTACGGCGTCGGACGTCTCCACGACTCATCGTCGTCGTCATCCTGCGCGGGTGCGGGAACGCCAGCAGCAGGCGACATCTGCACACGGGCTCAGCGGATGCGGACGGGTACGAGCGGCACAACTTGGCGCACATGCGATGGATGGGGGTGGGCAGGCGCCTGAGGAGGCGCCCAGTTACGCGGCATGCTTGTGGGTGCAGGCGTGTTCGCCGTCGGCGGCGAAGGGCGCGGGGCAAACTCTGCATCTAGACGAATGCGAATCTGTTCGCGGCCAGCCTGCGCGAAGAATGCACGTTCCTGGCGCTGGAAATAATAACTAGTGGGCCCGCCCTTGAGCTCGGAGAACTGGCTCGGCGGCGGCGGCGGGAACAGCCGCATGAGATCGTGACCAGTTGGCGGCGGCGGATACGGGCGCGGTGCAGAGTTGATGGGAGTACCAGGCTGGCCTTGAGGGAGGTTCACGTCGGGCACGTGAACGTTGTGTCCATTGGCAGCAAGCGGTGCGCCGCCATAAGACGACGACGAGGAAGAGGAAGAGGGCGACGGGCCGGGAGGCGGGCCGTAGTGAGCAGGATGACGAGTAGGAGAGGTTGCGTCGCGCATGTCGACGGGGCGGAGCGTGAACTGGTGTACTGCGGCCATGGCTGGACTGTGTGCGTGTGTGTGCGTTGAGAAGGAATTGTGCGTGCGCGGTTTATATACCCGCCCGGGCCTGATTGATCTACAGGGCTTCGCGGGCGCCTCCCCCTTTATCTTACGTACCCGGGGCAACACCGGGATCGGGCCATCGCGATCTCTTCCATTTTCGCAATATTTACCCGCCCTTTCACGCCGTACACGGTTCCACGCCTGATCACCTTTGCTTCCATCCACTCCTTCATCTTCCCATCCGGATCCGGCTATTCTACTCGCTATCCCAACCGGCGATGCTCAGCGCTTGAACTCTGCTCACACGTCGACTTCGAGCCTTGATTGCATCGCTCAGACGCCCGTATTTGTCGCCACAAAGGACATATGGCAGCTGATGTGCATCCCGACAGCCCTGTTGTTCTTGAACCATGTCTCGTCTCTCTGTGAACTTACCGGCCGGACGTTCTCATATCCGTTGCGGGCTTCGGCGCGTCTTTTGCGGCTCACCGCCGCCACGCCCCCTAGTACTAGTCCTATTCTCGACAGAAGCGCTACGTCTTCTGTACTTGCCCTTGGCGCTACGCCACGAACTGCGAACACGATCGATTCGTACGGTTCAAGGTCTCGAGAGTTCACTTTACGGTGCCCTAAACCTCGGTGCACAGTCGGAGATCATACCTGGCCATGCGCTCATGCAGGCCCGTCAACAGACCATCTCTCCGCAATGCATACGCGCAAACGTACTTAGATCACCAAGGGTACAAACCATCGATCTTCTCTTCTCGTCTCCACCCTTTGTTCCTTCGGTCCGCCTCACGACGCTCTCGCTACATTTGAATCTTCTGCGTGCCGTTCAACACGCGCGCGGAGTATCGGCTAGAAAAGGCCGTCCTTATGGCACAGAGCACCGCACAGCGCTCCGCGGTGCTTCCAACCGTTCCGCGTCTGCGTCTGACGCGATCCCGGGGCTGAGGAACGCCGCCCATGTCGCTAAAGACGCAGCAAAGAAGCCTAGGATCGCATGTGTCCCTCGATCGTAGCTGCGCTGGGAAGCTCCGCATATACATAAGTTTATCATGCGACGATCTGTAATACGGACAGCTCGACGGCGAACAAGATCTTTACCTATGACAGGTGCTGTCATATCTGAGTTGTGGAAAGCTTTGACTGTTCGACTTCGACCACGATGCCAAGGGGTGGGCATTTCGGACTGACAGAGTGGCCGCTGTATGCGAGCAAAGCTCGCGTGGTCGGTCCGAGGGTTTCCCCATTCGAGACATGCATTTCAGCATTGTCCTTCTGCCGGCGGCTGGGATGCGCCCTTGACGTTCCGCACACATTCACAGAAGCTTGGCTCGTCAGTGTCTCTCGCACGTACGCTTTGGGTGTTCGGAACTCATACCCGCTGTCGTCGCGTGTGCACTGTTATTCAGCGAGCACGCCACTGGCATGTCTGAGCGTCCGACGGCTGCAAACCATCGTGTGCGTCTTGCGACGGCGCGCAATATACATCGCGGCGACCAAATCTTTCCTAGCACGGCAGCAGAAAGAGAAGAGGGAAGTTGTACTACTTGATGCGCTCAGGGGAATATATTCGCCCGGTACCGCAGCGGGCGCGTTGCCGTGTGGCTCCTCAATTAACACTTCTTCAGTCCGTACACACGCGCTCAAATACGTGTACCCAGAGCAGAAGGCACGATGCGCAAGCGTACATTGAACGCCACTACGCGGCCGTCTGCCAAAATCTGCTTTCGAGACCGCGCAGCCCGCGATTTCCAATACCCCCGCGGACGAATGCTGGGCGCGCGCTTGAGCTTCGTCTTGGTCCATCGACAGGCGCGATGAACGGTCGCGGGTGCTTCTTCATCTTCGCAGTTGAGATGGAACTGTATCTGTATGACAACGATGAGCGCGCCAGTTGGGATCTCCATCTTCCTCTTCTTCCCCCGGTACCGGCATGCATGCGGCGTGGCGTGTCTTCCAACTTCCCAAACCTGGCAGTGCTCACGCCAGTTACAATACACTCGTACATGTCCAGCATCATTAAGCCCATCGACCATCGAGATCTGGCGTTAGGATCACGCTTCTCTTCGATCCTTGCGTTTCCGGCCTTGACGGGTAGCGTGTTGCTGTATTCACACAGCGCAGGTCGCGTATCACCTTCTCCAGCTCTCCGTCTTTTAGTCACCTGTACCTCGAGGCTGCGTGCGCTCTTCTATCAGGTGCCTTCGTTTCATCTGCGGTGGCGTGGCACGCGCACGATCTGCAGTCCTTACAGACCTGTTGTCGGGTCATCGGCGCCGGGCGCGACGTCCAACTACGGCAGATATACACGTATCGCCTAGGCTCAGCTGTATATGGGATGATGCCGAGCGGGAGCGTACTGGATGGCGGGTCACTCAGACATTGAGGTCGGAGATATCGCTGTGTACTTTTGTACTCATCCTCGGGCAGAGCCTCGCGGGACGCCCAGAGGCGGATAACAGATACCCGATATGTTCTTCGCGCGTACGCCGCGGACCTCACTTGTCTTCTTTTGGGTATCTGTTTGGTCTCCGTCACTCATTTTCTTGCCCGATGCTCGGAGGCGATGAGCGCTCTGGACTTCTTACATCTTCTATCAGACCTCAGGCGGTGAACATCGGTATCGGGGCGCGCTTTCTGCACTGTACTGTATACACTCGTTTTGATCACTTGGTCCGTTCTGAGCGGAAGGATGGTCACCAGCTGGACTCTTACCAATGTATACAATACAAATATGCCTGTGTAATCAGTGGGGACGCGCACGGCGCGCGAAGCGCGCCGTGCGCGGCATCAGTTTCCCACAGGCCGTCAGATGCGCGGAAGATGGTCGCGATTTTGGACGAAACTTGCATGGCGGATTCGTGAACTAGATATTCAATTTGAGCCCATATGACAAGATAGCTGGACTAGGGGGAGTTCATATGTGCTGCTCGCTTTTGGTCAGAGGAATCCCCTTAACTGGGACTTACTGACGCACAGGGCTGCCCGCCATTTCGGCTTCGTACGACCTCGGCTATAGAGCCAAAGGTCCTATTTGTAGAGTACCTTGCTCACATGGGGACTTTGGATTGACTATTAAGATATTCCTCGATAAAAATAAGAAGGTATGCTACACGTCCGAATGAGGTAGCCAATGTTCAGCGCCGAAAGCACGCGACAAATAATCAACACCGTTTAGCTGGCAGAAGCTGGTGGCGGCTCTAAAGACAGCATAAGATATTAGGTTGTATGTCATACTCGGTCTCTTGAAAAGAGACTGGGCGCGTCTTGGCTGTATCGTACTGCTGCAGAAGCTGCTGGTCTCAGGCACAACTTACCACTCTACTGAGACTTTCAGTGTCAGTTAACAGGATTCCTCTGACCAAAACTTAGCAAAGTGGCATATATACACGCCTCTATTTTCTTCGAATATAAACAAATTTATCCAATATCCCTTGTATTTATCTCGTTGGTGTATAGAAGTGGGCCGCGTTAAGCGGGAAAGCGACATTATTTTACCGATCTCTTGCGGTGAGCAAGACCTAGCAACCCAAGTTGTTCCCTTCGTACCTCTAACTCGACTGATTTGTAGGTTGGCGGACCTGCATGTAGCTCGAAAAGACAGGGAGAAAGCTGAAAGAAAGCCTCGTGACCATGTTGGTGACGGTTCGTCGCTGTCTTGTCGCCTATGGCGTTTGCCGCGGCATGTCCGAGCCATACCCGAGGCTCCCCAGACGCGTTCTTGTCTGTCTTCCGAGGAGTGATCCCTCTGGACAAAACATGATATAAGTGCACTGCTGTGTGACGAGTCACCTTTACTTGTCCCTCCCAGTTTTGAGGGCTCCTGGGAGGGCATCTGAGACCTCTACTTGCTAAGGAAATCGGACCCAGCTCAGAGGTGGACCACTTCACTTCGCGGCCATCGGGTGAATCGACGAGAGATCATAGAAATATAATGACAGCTGCAGGTACAGTACAGCATGCAATACTATCCCCTGACCGCCTTTTCTTGACCACAAGCAGTCTGGTTGTGTGGTAGTTGGCTGCGAAGTGTGAAAACCGCCTCGATTGCGACTTTGGCTGTGTGGGAACTCTGTGGGGCCCGCACGGCGCGCTTCGCGCGCCGTGCGCGTCCCCATAATCAGTATGTACTGTGGGTCGCTAACATAGCCGGCTTCGATTAATCAAGATCCAGCAAAGTCAGGATGGGCGAGCTTGACAGTCGTTTGCTCTTCATCACCGCGCTGAGACCGTTAGAACAAAGCGATCATGAGCGCAGGGCTCACCCACAGCCTATGTTAGCATGTTGAACGTCGTAGACTTGCACACCAGCGAGTTTCAATCGCAGGGCTAACTTACGACAAGTTGTAGGCCGTCCGGCCCTTGGAAGGAGATACTGCTATATCGCCAATCCGCGAGCCAAAATGTCAGTATGTGACATAGTAGTGTGTAACATATGAACAAGTATACAGCAAAACTTTCCTTACAAACCAATACTGCCCCAGTGAGGCTCGAACTCACGACCTTCCGATGAATCTGTTAGTAACAGTCGGACGCTGTAACCAACTCAGCCATGGGGCAATGAAAGTCATGTATAAGTGTGTGTATACAACGTCGCGGGCTCAACCGCACGACTGCGTCCGGACCTCATTGAGGTATTGTGGACTAACTCGCTTATGGACGAATGTATGATGTTCGAGCCCGAATGATGAGATCTCGTCAGCCTGCATGGAATCTTGGAAGGAGGTGCGAGTTCTCATCATGACCGTGGCTGGGTGTTGCTCCAGGCAGAGCGAGCGGCTAAAGAAGCCAGAGGTACGAAGAACTTGCATCGAACAGCAAGTTCGGCTTGTGTTCGGGAGTGTGCGCGGATCGAAGCGAAGCGCGGGTCTGCAGTTCGCGCACGGTGCCGAGCTTCTGACGAGAGAACACAGTGCGCGCGTGTCGCACACGATGTCACTCCAGCGCGGCATCGATGCGAGAAGCTCTCGCAAGTATCCGTGGCGTGCGCTATAGAAGCAAGACCGAATACGGCTTCCACACTAGGATCGTGGGCGTGGTTGCTCACCTGAGCCTTTCATGTGGTCGAGCGGGACCGAGAGGTATAGGAGGTCCGAGTAGAACGAGCAGTGTTGCTGCAGGTGTCGGTTTATGCCGATCAAAGTACCGCGAAACGCCGCAGAACGCAGAAGCTGCATGATAAATGCTATAGAGGATGCGGAAGGCCGTATTGGCCTTGGCGTGCACCAAGCTATCTGGAGATACGGCCTCATTTGAACCTGGCGGCAATGGCCTGCATGAACTTAGGTCAAAGGGTGAGAGGGAGCACCGCCTACGGTTTAAAGACAGGCCTGGATCGGCTCGATGCGGAGGAAGAGCTCTGTATGGCAAGGGTCGCGCTCCCAGGAGAAGAAGAGAAGTAGTGTACGTAGACGCGCACTGCTAGGTTCAGCGCTCAAGTCGGGGAATGAGTGATTGAGCACATATCATTCTCACAGAGTCTGTGCCGTGTGCGTGCGATACAGCCTGCTTGTATACGCTATACATCCGAAGTTCATGACCACGCGGGAGTGTATAGCCGGAACGACAACACTCAGTGCCGGTGCACGCGAGAAGGCAGAGAACAGAGTGCCTAGTCGTAATCATGACCGCACGCACACTGCGCGTTCGGTCTTTGGATTTGGGAGGAAAATGGCATTGGATGATGATGTACGGATAACACCGGGGTCCGAGGCGTATGAGAAAGTCGTGAAGTGCAAGCCACGTACAACGGTCTCCGCGCCCATAAGGCGATGATACTCGGTGTTATTCATCCAGACGTCAAGAGCTCACGCGAGCGGTGAGGTTTCAGGGTCGAGAAGCGCTTGTATTATCCGCAGTTGGACGGACCAGAAGCAGCAAGGATGACTAGGCATGGAAAGACGCCGGGAAACCTCGAGGGAATGGGGTGGCCAAAGCCGTCGAATCTAGCGGGAGTAACAAGCCAATAGGTACTGATCAGGTTTGAAGCTTGTCGAGTAGGGTAAAGCCATGGCGACAAGCCGTAGGTATCGGACTGCTGACTAGAGTAGCTGGAGGTAGATCGGCAGACCATCGATGGTTCGTGCTTTTCGGCAAGAAGCCCGCGCAATCACAACGCTATGCGAACAGCGTCTTCCTGACGATCGATAACATAGTACAGACCGTTGAATTGATCTCCGGCCAGGACCCATCGTGCATGATGAACGTTACAAGCAAGATCGGTGTTGTGTCGGCGGTACGTCGACGAAGACTTCACCACGTGTCGAAGGTGATGGCAGTTGTCCTGGGTTTCCTTTTCCACCACTGTCATCTTCGAGGCAAGGATAGCCGAGCAGCTCGATCTCCTTTGATATCATACCTTGATACGCCCCTTGAAGCAATTGAAGCAAGTATCAGCCATCCTGATGGCTATCGGTAACTATACGCCGGTGGACCTCCAGCGCCCGCACGACAACTTTGCAGGGAAGGAGACGGACTTCACGGACTTGACCCTTACGTCTGATCAGCGCATTGCTTTCAATGGTCGGTGAATTCCGCTGAGAGGGTCACTGTGATGCATACACTCTAAATAACCTCATACGTACTCAATGCTCGGCACTAATCCCTTGCTCCGAGTTCCCCGAACGTATACTAACTTGGAGTGAGTTGCAAGTGCCTGAGCTGCTGCCCGGGCCTATTATCGGGTATACGCACTTGATTGCGTTTCGGGACGAGTAAATGCTCAATGGTTACTAGTCACTCTTTGATGATCAAACTTACTGAGCTTCGGGTTTTCACTGTGCAGCGCCTGCTGCCACGCACGACCAGTAAGTGGCAGATTTTCAATTGGTAAATTTGCACTAGTAAGTTCAGAGGAGAAGAGCGGGGATACACTAGTCTCCACTTGGAGAACTGAGGGCGACGGGAAGGGGCAGACACAGAAGTCACCCTATCGGGATTCACGAGGACAGAAAGTGAACTGGAGGACATTCTCTGATCGAGATGAATGCTATGAGCCAGTTGCGAGAGATCTCACAAGGGTAACTGCTGTCTTGAGCGAGTAGCGAGCAAGTTGAAGAAGCTCTTTTGCGCTCGAGGACATAGAAAACGATGGATGGCGAGGAGGAGGCTGCGTTACAGGTCCTGGACCTTGCGACAACTAGCGATCTTCATTCAGATGGCTATCTCGTAACAGTAAAGAGACACGGGCATAGAGCCATGACACAACCTTGTATTCCCAAGACTTGACTGGCCGGGCAGAGTCTCGAGAAATGATGAGCGTAGAGAGCAAGTCGGCCGCGACCAGCTTCAACTTGAACCCGTGGGTAAATAGGAAACGTTGCACAGCGCGTGGCGTCGCGGTGCGTTCGCTGGCTGTCCTCGTACCTCCAGCACCTTTTCATCTGACATCACAATCTTGCGCTCTGATAGCCTGAGGAAGCAGCATGCCTCTTTTAAGTCTTCCGTATGATATCCTTGAGAAGCTCCTGTGCTGTCTTAACGCTCGTGACGTCCTCGTCTGCGGTAGAGTCTGCAAATCCATTCACGATGTTGTCACCACGTCCTTGCCGGTCCGCTACAAAATTGCCCTTGCCGCCCGTGGAATGCGTGATGGCCGTGACCGCTCCGCGAGTCTTGTTGAGAAGATCGAGAAATTGGAGAGATATGAGCTTGCCTGGCGCGAACTGGCGTGGAAGGAGTCGCTGCGGCTCGAGCTGCCGGTTCCTTGTCGACACGTTTATAAGGCGGACGGATATTTTCTAATTGTCAATCCTGCGGCACAATCAGTTAGCGTAATCCGTCTTCCGTCTCCTCTACGAGGTGTATCGTACCAGGAGTACAACTGGGATGCGCCGTTGGGCTTCTTCCGAGGAGAAGGAACTGTGCTGATGGATCTCGGTAACGACCTGGTTACTTTTCTGAAACCAGCCGTCAATAGGTAAGTGCCATCTACTCGCGGAGTGCTGGAAACCACCCGACTGATCATTCTCGCAGCCTGGACATCGTTGTCGATGCGCGCTCGTTATCTACAGGAGAGATACATCCATTTGCTGGCGACTCCACTAAGTTCTCGATCTCACGAAGTTTAGGAGCACAACAGTTGCGGCGTGACTCCGACAAGTGGACGACCCTACGAGGTCGGTATATAATCTGTGGCGGGGACATGCCCCATGTACTCGCAGACGGCGTCAGGATTGACTGTCCGAAGATTCATAACTGGACCACGGGACACGATGTCACACCGGTATGCTCTACTTGATCGATCATATGTCTAGCTCTGAAGTCGGGTGTTTACAGCTTTTGATCGACCAGGTGTTATACGCCTTGACCTTCTTAGACGATACACATGCCTTATGCCTGGTAGCGATTGACCAATCCATCGAACTTTGGATAGCTGACCTGGAGTACTTGGATATGGAAGGACGTGCGGTGGTAACACACATCTTTCAGTTCTCGTTCGCAGCTGGATGGAAGTGCTACGTACGACGCGTGGGCTCCGGTGCCGACGTCGGACTTCCGCCACCCGAGACACAAGGGCGGCTTGGAAGCCCATGCTATTTCGAGGATGATGGATGGGCGGCATTCAATGCGGTGTTACTCTTGCAAGACGAGAACGACAGTTTTCATCGATTGGTGGCGCACATCCCATTCTCAGTTCTGAGAAGCTTCAGCGGACAGACCCCGGAACATCCACCAACCATAATCCCGTATACGTCGTGGAGTGACGCCAACACCCTCGTCGAGCATTCGCGTTCGCGGTTCTGCTTCGGCTCGCAGGGGCACCTTGTCTGCACTGTACTTGGCTCGCAATCATTCTGGCATGATTATATGAATGATAACGCTGTTGGGCAAGTCGTGGATATCCACCCCCGACGTCTCGCATGGTTGCAGGACTCGCGCTCTCGCGAACGTACGTTCAACATCCCGACTCGCGCGTCCAACCCTGATCACTACCTGAGCCATCTGGAATCCGGCGACTGCATTGTTGTACAAGAGGTAAACATTGACTGAGTTTGCATGGAACGCGGCTTTTGCTAACATGTTCTGTAGCACGATGGGGAAGATGAGGCAGACGACGAAGATGGACTCGTTTACGCTATTACCGTATACAGTCCTGCTTAAGACCGCGAGTAGGGAACACGATGTCTGTCTGAATTTCATTTGTTTACGAAAGTTCAGTCCCGAGCCACGGATGGGCCAAGAGCTCCTGGGCTGAGAGTCGATCATCTGGCAGTAGACGCAACATGCTGTGCAGCAGATCGAGCAACTCGGGCGAGTATACGTCATGAGTTTTCAGACTCTGCTCGAGCGAACACTGGTCTTCGGGTCCATCCGCGATCCTCAGCTCGCCATCTGCAAACACGGGGAGATCAGATTGAGAACGCGGGGCGGTAAGTAACAAGTCCGGATACGCACCGTCGGTGAAGAAGTGCCACTTGGGAGAGCCGTACGTGAAGTAGAACTCGCGCATCTCTGCCTCCGACTCGTCCGTCATGCGGAGACACGAAAGCATGCGGGCGAAGTGACGTTGAGCGGGCCATCGACATCGTCCTGGCTGGATCGCTTCTCATAGAGTGGGA